AATAGATGGCTCGGGCCCGCAGGGTTTCTGAGCCTGCACTCTGAACGGGCTCTTTAATCTGTCAATGTCCAGTTTACGAACGATATGTGGCATCTGCTCGTCCCATCCACGCCTGACCTATCCCTGCTGCCCAGCCCTAAACCCCCAGCTCCTAAACCCTGATCCCTGGTTAGCCACCCTTAGCCCCAAACCCTATATGCCCGAGTTCCGTGCACCCTTTCCAGTGAAGCTTAAGGAGAAATGAGGGTCTAGACCGTGAACTCAAACTTGTTAAACTCGTGGTATTTATGACCACAACAACTTTTACATTGGAGTAGCAATAGGGTTAGAAGCAGTATCAGCAATAGTATGCAACAGTCATAGTAATGGTAGCGATCATGGTCATAGTCATCGGGAGCTCTAATGGCGATAGTCGTCGTAATCGTAGCAATAAATGAAGCAGAAGAGCAATGAAAGTAATATATCGGCTGTAGTAACACGACCAACAGATCACATCATGCCAGAACAGCCACAACATTATCGTCACACATTCAATCATCACAGAGAACCCTAAACCCTCAGCCCTAACCCACACATTCAAAGATCACAGAGAACCCTAAACCCTCAGCCCTAACCCTAAACCCTAAGCCCTAAACAGAAGCAAGGACTTCACCGGTTCTACGGTTCGCCGACCTGAGCCTCTTTGGTGTCTCCCCGGGGTTGATCGCCTCCTGCACTCGCAGCTTGGACGCGAGGAGCAGCGGAAGTGGTGCAATTTCCAAGCTTACCTATAGTCTCCATTGTAGTTCCTTTTTGAGGTTCCCTTTTAGGATCCCTAATATAGAATTGGTTAAACCAAAAAAAGGAACTACAATGGAGACTACAGGTATGGCTCACATACAAAAGACTATGCGACACAATACGCCCAATAAGCGTTGTTGGTGTCATGTTTTTGTTTGTGTGCTCGCTCTTTGTTGGGTCTTCTGCAACTATCTACCTGAGCTTGTTCATAGTAGCCAATCTTGGCAGCAAGCAGTGTTACAATGGCAGTCACCCTTCGTTGCTGTATCCTTTTTCGGCTTCATCGATCACATGCGATCTCAGCTCCAGGCGTTTATAGAACCCAGGTTCACTGTCTCTGCATGTCTTGGGGATCTGCGACAGGCAAAAAAGCAGGGAGCAGCTTGCCATAAACAGCAATCACATTGCGTCACTTGTTTTTGTAGTTCAAGCTCTTTTGAGGGGTCCAGCATCGGCATCTCCCAGGGTTTGAAGTTAGAATCAGACCGTGGGCTCGCGTTCTTAGGCTGTGCCGGTGGATCCCCGTTCACGACCGCCGTGCAAGCAGAGTGCCCTGGAGACTGCAGCCCATTGACTCACCGCTACTAATGCCTAGTAGTCGAGTAGGTAACCTTTAACCTTTTCTGGGTAGTATAGTCCCTATATAGTCCCTATGGAACCAAAAAGGTTAATTAACCTTTAGTTGCCCATGATACCCGACAAGTAGTTCTGCGAGATGGGGTATTTACATAAGTAGCTCAGGATCGCCAAGCACCCGATCTCCGCTTACTGCAGACTGCCATGCCTCCGCTGTGCATGTAAGGCAGCGAGTACACGCAAGCACTAGGAATGCAGATCCGTGTAGGCAGTCGTCGCTGTCTCAAGATTCGCTGGACATCCTTTTTCCTAAACCCTAAACTCCTAAAGCTAGTTGGGTTGTCCGAGTGTGAGCGCCGAAACCCATAGTCCAAGAGAGGTTCCTAGTTTTCCTGATTTCGTTCGGAGCGGTTTTTTTGGGAGTCAGGTGGCGGGCCGCCACATGGGCAGTTTCTGAACATGCGGGACCCTAATATAGAACCCTAAATTGTAGCATCCTTATGATAAGGACCCCAAAACAAGGTACCCCGAATTTTATTTTCGGAAACTTCCACAGCTAGATCCACCTGCAAATGCGAGGTGCTGGGGTCAGCTGCTGCGGCTTCGCCACAGTGGCACATTGCTCAGCTAGGTCAGGTGATTTGGAGACTTCTGAGGGCCAGGGATGACAAGGAAGTGAGTCGCTGGAGCTTGCGTGTGCACTTCTAAACATAAAGAATCCCCTTTGTGGTTCTTTCTCATGCCCTCCTTCCCCTGCCTGCATCGGAGCTTTATTCGCCCGCCCGACCCCCAAACAAAGTAACACAGGGACCTGCTGGGAATTCTGATCAGTTGCCCCGCTGGGTAAGCTTGGTGAGCTTTGGTCAGTTGGTCGTCTTCGGATGTTGAAGAGATTGAACGACAGTATAAGGCATGAAAGCTCTTTCGGCCTGCTGCCGAAAGTAACCCCCGCCAAACCAAAGGCACAAAAAAGCAATCGCTAGACCCTTTCCCAACGGCGCCTCAGGAATTCCGTCCATGCCAGAGCTGGAAGCCTTGCGGAAAGGTGCCGTGCAGGCCACCAACATTAGCGATTTTACGCTCCAGATTCCGGAGTTTGCAGCTCAGGGCCGGAATGCTAAACCAGCACAGAGCCACACATTCTCCCCGCAAGTTGTAGCAGTGTGGCAAATGCCAAAACAGGAGGCTGCTCAATGAAAGGCATCTGCGTTACGTGGCACAGAGGTGCGTTTTCTTGAGACTTATGCGGGGGTTTCCGAAAATGAGGGACCCTAATGTAGTACCGTAAAAGGTAGAATTCTTATTATGAGGACCCCCAAGTAAGGTACCCCTACTTCTTTTTTGGAAGAAACTCCCATGTAAGTCCTGAGGCGCAGCATGATTTCTGGAGGCTTATATAACCTCAGGGTACCCTATGGATGTCGAGCTGAGGCTTCGGTTAGGATTGAGAAAGCCCGATATACCAGGACTCCAGGGCGCTGCGTTGTGCCGCTTCGGTGGCTGTGCCCGATCCCTCCGACGATGAGGTGCTTTCCTGGGGCTCCAACTCAGGATTCGGATGATTCCTGGCTCCAGAGGCATGCCTGTAGTAGAAGGGGTTGTACAAAGCCCCGCAGATGGGGCCCTCATCAACCAGACATTCAATTGATGTGGTAGCAAGGTTCGAACACTTTAGAGAGGCTTGGATATGGCCAGGCGGTCATGCATCGGTGTCAAAACCCCAGTTTCGGAGTGTCTTGGGTCAACAGCTCGCACGATGGTTATGATGAGGGCTGAGAGCCTAGGATCGTGCATTGAGGTGACGGCTGACTCCAACAAGCAACTGAAAGTCTTTCTATACTATACTACTTTATTATACACATAGTCTAATGTTGTTCTTTCTAAGTGAAACCTTGCTTCGGCCTGGCCGTAGCTTTGCCGAGCGCTTGCTCGTAATGATAACACAGCACAGACAGTCATACTGGTAATTGCAGCAAATGTAACGATAATGGTAAGAAGAAGACCAAGTCTGCTGCTACTACTACTACGACTACTACTACTACTACTACTACTACCACTACTACTACTACTACTACTACTACTACTACTACTACTACTACTACTACTACTACTACTACTACTACTACTACTACTACTACTACTACTACTACTACTACTACTGCTACTACTACTACTACTACTACTACTACTACTACTACTACTACTACTACTACTACTATACGACTTACGACTACGACTTACCTACTACGACTACTACCTACTACCACTACCACTACCGCTACCACTACCACTACCACTGCCACTGCCACTGCCACTGCGACTGCGACTGCTACTGCTACTGCTACTGCTATTGCTACTACTACTGCTACTACTACTACTACTACTACTGCTCCTGCTACTGCTACTGCTACTGCTACTGCTACTACGACTACGACTACGACGACGACGACTACTACTACTACTACTACCACTACCTCTACCACTACCACTACCACTACCATTACCACTACCACTTCCACTACCACTGCTACTACTACTACTACTACTACTACTACTACTACTACCACTACTACAACTGCGACTACGACGACGACGACGACTACGACGCGCGTCGACGACCACTACTGCTACCAATCATAATGGCAATAGTAGCACTATCAGAGCATTCCCGATTAGTGACGTTAGCTTTGTTGTTCGTTTTATCGGTATTGTTTTTAATGTTATTAGTATTGTTATCGTTGTTGGTATAATTATAGCTGTTACTGTTATGCTTTTCTGCCTAGATCATAGCAATTAATCGCAGCAGTACTAACATCCCTAGCAACAACATCTACAACAATAGTAACAATAACGGTGGTGGTGATATAGTCGCAATAAACTTTTAATCGTGAGTTGAACACAACCAATACTGCAATTGCGCTGCACTGTCTGCTAGCATCATCTCAAGGAGTCACCACTGGTAGCAACACACCGTGTAAGTGTGAGTTAAGCCCTATAAGCCCGAAGCCCGGCGTGCACCATGTGGTCTCAAGTTTATGAAGTTTGACTGTAGCGGCTGTTGCCGCGAAGACTGCCGGCCGTATGAGCGGTGAATTACGCTGAAAGCATGTTTGGCATTGGGGGTTTCTTTACTCGTTTTGCCCAGTTTCCTTTCCAAGAACTGTCTGCTGCAGGAACTGGAAGATGCCGCGCCCATCCGGCCCAGCTTCGCCAGCCGCTGCCAAGTGACCGACGGACTGTGCAAGGGCGACTGCCGGTGGCATGAACCAGACACGAAGCTTGAGCTCATAAAAGCTCGAAACACTTGCTTGTTTTGCGTCCTGTGATTCGTTGTGTGAGCTCACGATTCCTGCCGGCTATGTCTGCTCAGACAGACTGTTCGGCTCAACCCGAGCATGCTGTCGAGTCACTCGTGACAGCGACGTAAATCATCACGGCTCAAGTTTGAGGGTGTGGAGACAGTTTTGGTGTGAGGGCAACCGCACAAGCCTCCACTTATCCGTCAACTCAAGTCTTCACATCGCAAACGACCAACATCTCGAAACCATCCCATTACCCATCAGTGCAACCTTGCCGTGTGGATTCGGAGACCTGTGTGGTAGCCCGTGCTGTATATATTCCTTTAGACATCTGTTTGTGCAAGAATGGCAATCGATCCAATTCAGGGTCAAGGAGCTGTGAAGGCCATTTCCCAGAAGGAACAACGAGACCAACAGAAAGGTCGTGGACATGGTGGCAAAGGTGCAGGCCAACATCGTCCGAAGAGGCAACAAGGCAATCGCAGTAGCATTCGCAAGCCTGTCCTGGCACTCTGCAAAGTGACCCGTGCCGATGCTTCCGGGGATGCCACTGAGCAATTAAAAGCCGCGCTTCTTGAAGCCGAGCGTGGCAATGAGCCAGTGGACGGAGGACTGCTGGGAATGGCAGCCGCCCAGGCTGGACGGCTCGGCCTCAAAGACTTGCTTGCCTCCCTTATGGCCTACGCTTGGCCAAGACTCTTCTCTTGTGGTGGACGCGAAGTTGCCGAGTTGGCCGCCGCTGCCAGCAAATGCGGCTGTGACGATGATAGGTTCTTCTACTTTGTGGCTACGTACTGCAGCCAGAACCCTAGTGCATTCACCTGCCTCCGGGATGTGGCACTGGTCGCTGCAGCGCTCACACCGAAGCTTGATTCACAGGTGCGGATGTGCAAAGATTCTAACACCCGGTCCCGGCTATGTAGATTGTTTGCTACACGCAGGCTTTATGGGTGTCTCCCGCTTCAACAGCAGCTAAGAAGAAAAATGTCGCAGGGTACGTCTTGTCAGGCGCCAATCTCTTTCTTCCCGAGCTGTGTCGCAAGTTCCCGTAAGGAAACCCTCGACTCAAAGGCTTTTCTGTTTCTCCCGCAGGTGAACCTTGGAGCCGCCTTCCTTGGCCTCTCCAATGTGGCCATGCAACACTTGCAGGGCAAGCTGACGGGCCAGCCCATTCGGGACATCGCCGAGTTCTTCTACTCGCTGATGAATGTCTTGGGCATGCCGAACAACGCAAGCCTCTGCAACGAAGACCCGGTGAATGAAGTCATCGCGGCAATCGCCTCTGCGGTTCGGCGTTTCCTCCATACCGCCAGCGGGCAAGATATTGCAAAGGCCACTGGTGCAACTTCGCTTGGGTGGACGCTGCTGCCTCGCTTGCAAGACACTGTCCTGGGCCCCTTGTTGAAAGAGCTGGCACAGGCAATCCGCTTCCGCCACGCAGACTTCAATGCTCAGGACTTGGCACAGCTTAGCGTCTCGTTCGCCCGAGTGGAGTGTTTTCCGGACTTCGCGACCTCCCTGCCGATCCTGGTTGAGAAGGTGTGTGAGCGCATGGGGACCTTCAGCTCCAAGGACCTGAGTTTGGTGCTTTGGTCCGCTTCCCGTCACACCTACCTCGCGGAGAGATGCGCGACGCTTGCATCCAAAGAGGTTATGAGGCGAGACCTGTCAAGCTTCTCCGCGCAGGACCTCTGCATGACTGCTCAATGCTTAGCCAAGCTGGGCAGCAGAGGCAAGGCAGCACTTAGCTTGGTCGCAGGCCAAGTCTTTCAGAGGCAGGCGAGAGGCTTGTCGACCACGGACAAGGTGCTGTTTCTGTGGGCGCTGGCCAAGTGCAAAGTGATGCATCTTGCCCTTTGCCGGCTCATCGTTCGGGACCTCGCAGTCGAGAACTGTGGTCGTCTGCAGAGGGACAAGGTGGGCCTCGCGCTGTGGTCCCTGGCAGTCGTTTGGCAGTCGCTCCCGCAGTCCGATTCTTGGGCAACACTTTTGGCATCCACCCTCCTTGCTGCGCAGCCGTGGCAGATGGCTCCAAGCTACGAGGTCACAAATGATGCCTGGGCCTTTACTCAGCTTCCGGCAGAGCTCACCAGCATGATGTGGCCATCTCTTCTCTCATCTGCAGTGCAAATTCCTCCAAGTAGCCTGTCACAGCACGAGCTCTGCAACCTGTTGGCCGGCCTGTCGCGCTGTCCCAAGCAGGTGATCCTCTGTCGGGAAGTGTTTACATCGTTCGCGAGCGAGTTGGTGAGCCGTCTACGGGCGCCGAATGGGCCACCAACGACATCTGACCACGACAAGCGGCTCCTGGCCGCCACGCTGGCTTGCCAGCCAGAGAATTGGAACACTTACCTGAACGGAGGTGATGTAGAATCGGTGCAAGCCTTTGTCGCGAGTGAAGCGAAGTCCCAGGATGTTCCCGACGCTGCGGCTTCCGGGCCAACCCGGGAGGCTCCATCACCCGATGACGCCGAGGAGGGCTACGAACAGAGGTCGCAGCAGACAGAGGAGGCCACAGACATACCAGAGCCAGAGACGGAGAGACCTTTCGAGAAGGAGGAGAGCTACTTCAAAGCAAAGAGAAAGGAGACAGAGGAGGCCACAGATGTGCCAGAGTCAGATCCTGGAGCAGATGGCTGGTGTCCAAAAGGTCTCGTGGAGCGCGACCAAGACTACTCGGTGCCCGGCACGTCGGAGCTCAGTCTTCTACATCTGAATTCTCAATGCAACTACAAAGGACACTGTGTGCAGCTGAAACACACCTTCATCCATATAGATTGCCCGGAGGAGAGCGATTCAGACGAAGACTGTATGATCTGCAACATGACTAGGAACGCAGGCCGCAGGCGTGCTAAGTCGGCCGATGGACGAGATCTAGTTGCTTGCGGAAGCACAGGCGTCCCACCCATCCCGGTAATAAACGATCCCGACATGGAGCGCGAGCTCTTGGAGCGCCATCAGCATCGGGTCGAGAAGCGACGCATGAAATGGGGATCAGTGCCCAACTGCTGCGCGCCCTCACTGCAGCTGCAGTGATCTGGCTGCAGCATGCAACAAAGAGGCAGTGGTGATGGCTTCTCCGAAACACCTCTTAGGCCCCCACTTAAAGGTTCATGGGACTTAGTTAACGATGGTTATAAATAAGGCAACTATACTTATGTTTGAATATATCCCCAGTTTGGGTACTTATAACCTGACATGCTAAGTCCCATGAACCCCCAAGTATATCCTCTAAGCAGTGAGACCCCAAGACCAAGGCGTAGCTCCTCACCACTGTTTCGAGTGTTCTGGCGGAAGCTGGCCTCGGCCAACTGCGTGCTTCAAATGACCGTTACGCAAAGCTGGGCATGTAAAGTAAGATGATTGAAAGTAGCATATTCAACCAAATAAGGGAGTGATATTATGTTACTGCATGACTATGTTACTTCAATGCTACTATCGGAGCTTGAAGATCGGTCCATCTTGAAGCTTCTGGAAGCACAGGCTTCTTTGCAGCATTGTCGCTGAAATCACAGGGGCAAAGCTGCATCTCTGAGGGGTGAAACGAAACGAGGGGTGGTTCTCACCATGCACGGAATTGGAGCTCTAGCTTGCTCGCATCCACCACAGCCTGCTGGCACCCTGGTGCCATGAAAGAAACCCGCGCGGACTAATACTGTTGCCTGACCCATGTGCCTGTCGATCGTGGAAGGAATAATTTTCACATGCAGGCCGGTCAGCTGAGATCGAAAGGAGGGAAAGTGCAGTCGGCACCATCAATCTTGTGTACAGCGTGCGACATGCACTGGTATCGAGGGGAGATAAGCAACGGTATGTGTGGCCAATGTTTGCAGGAGCGTTGGATTCCAGAAGGTTGAAAAGTCAATGCACTGGAAGAAACCGTTGGGTCGAGCCTCTTCTGGTTCAGGCATTTGGCTGTTGATAGTTTGCTGCTAAATGATATCACTGCTGTGACGGTTCGGTCTCTTGTGCCTATACATTATATATTGCTCCTGTTGCATCCTTGCAGGAACCTGATCTCGTGATAAGACGGAGATTTCATTACTTAGATACTAGTGAGTAAGACTACAGTCTCCCCTTGTTCTGGCCTCCCAAAGCTTGACGCGGGCTACTCGCCTGGTTTGTCCATGTGTGCGAGCCAAAAGAAGTCATGGAGAGTCGATGCATGGCATTTCCATAGAAGTTCTGCTGTAACAACTGGGTCAAGAAGTCACTCCATATGGGGCTTTAAGGATGGAAGAATTGTCTGCAACAGATCCAGAGGAGGGTGATGAGTATTCGGGCCAGTGTCCTTCTTGGGCTCTTCAGTATGAGAGGCGCAGAGGCTGGATGGTTGCAGGAAGACGGTGTTGGCGGTGCAGATGATGCTTGCAGTACCCCGACTTGCATTGAAAGGTGTTTTTTTTGTTCGAGCTTACTGCCTCCGGCCATCTGGGATCGTGTTCCGTGCATGTCTAAACTTCTCCAGGTTCTAGCAACACATGGCTTCAACCAGTACTTACTTCATCCCGGAATTGTCGGACCCCACCAAGAATCCAGCAATTCTCTTTGGACCTCCAAGTCAAAGCTGTAGCATCTTGTTTTGATTGTATTCATGCTAGACCATAAGGTCCGTCCTGATTCTTGATATTCCCCCTCCATATCTGTTGGGAGACGTGCTTTCCCCCAAGATCTGACATCTTATTTTACATGTCCAAATATCACATCCCTGCCAGGACGCGACATCGTTGGAATTGCACCCACCGGGTCTGGAAAAACGTGTGAAGCTCAACTTGCTGTCAAGGAACCAGTTTCGGATTCCCCAAGCCCAACTCCGCAGATATCAAGCAGTGCACCAACAACCCTGCGCCCTAAGCGCCCCAAACGGTTCTCTTCCTGAACCAAGGAGGCATTACTACGACTGCTATACTGCTACTACCGCCACCACCACCCCCACGACTACTACCACCAATAACACTACTGCGACTCCGACTACTACTACTACTACTACTACTACTACTACTACTACTACTACTACTACTACTACTACTACTTTTACTACTATTATTACTACTACTACTACTACTACTACTACTGCTACTACTACTACTACTGCTACTACTACTGCTACTGCTACTACTGCTACTACTGCTACTGCTGCTACTGCTGCTACTGCTACTGCTACTGCTACTGCTACCACTACCACTACCACTACCACTACCACTACCACTACCACTACCACTACCACTACCACTACCACTACCACTTCCACTTCCACTGCGACTGCGACTGCGACTGCGACTGCTACTGCTACTGCTATTGCTACTACTACTACTACTACTACTGCTACTACTACTACTGCTACTGCTACTGCTACTGCTACTGCTACTGCTACTGCTACTGCTACTGCTACTGCCGCTGCTACTGCTACTGCTACTACGACGACGACGACGACTACCACTACTACTACTACTACTACTACTACTACTACTACTACTACTACTACTACTACTACTACTACTCCTGCTACTACTACTACTACTACTACTACTACTACTACTACTACTACTACTACTACTACTACTACTACTACTACTACTACTACTACTACTAGTGTTTTCATGCGTTTCGGAGTGAAGGCAGTCTTCAGATTGAGCACCTCTACGGTGATTTGGGCTGCTGAGAACATTGAATGCGCAAACAACGGTGCATTTAGCCACATCAAGCGCGAAAGTACTGGCGTGGCCGAGGAAATCGTGCATAAGTCAGCTGAGGGTGTCAGCCGTGACAAAGTAGTTTTTGAAGGTTCGGGGTACTTGTAGTCTGCTACGGGCGTGCGTCCTGCTCTGTCTTACGCAAACAGTTCACATAGGAAAGCAGCAAGGAACAGAATTCGAACAAACATGAGAAGCAGGGAAGCGAATGTACATCCCTGAAATTCAAAGCTGGTCCGAAATCGCTATTAAAGAAAAGACTCGACGGTGCTATGCGCGACGTGCGGTGCCGAAAGTACCGGCAGGGCCGAGTGATTCGTGCATAATTCAGCTTAGGGTGTCAAAAATCACAAGATTCACAAAGTAGTTGTTGAAGCTTTGGGACTTCACCATGCAAACAACACTATGAAGAACTGCACCATGCATCCATCACCGGGCGTCATCATGCCCCCCCCCCCCCGCCCCGCCGACCCCCACACCCGCAACCCTGCAACTTAGAGCAGACATGGCTCAAACCATGCTCAAACCTCCAGGCCTCCTGTGGGTGTGTAGTACTACTGCTGCTACTACTACTACGACGACGACGACGACTACTACTACCACTACCACTGCTACTACCACCACCACTACTACTACCACTATCGCTACCGCGACTAGGTCTAGTTCTCGTTCTAGTACTAGTACAAGTGCAATGAGTAGTATCATGTGTGGTGGGGGCTGTAAGGGCATTCGGGCCAGAATCCACAAAACTGTGGCTAGGTGTAGTGTTCGTCTGTGAGTTGTTTAGGAGACCTTGAAATTCATGGGAAGGCTGCTCCTCCTTCGCCTAGCTCGTAGATCTAATCTAAGGGCAAGAAAATGCAAAGTGGAGACAAGACCAGCTGTTGGTACTCGTTTTGTGCATACATCTTGGGTTTATGGGAAGCTGTGTCAGGCATTGTCCCACATGAGACATACAAATCCACAACTTCACCAAACCCGAAACCTCGAATTAAAACAACGAGTTCTGTGGTCACTGTGTGGCGCCGTACTACGCGAATGTATTGTCGCAACGCTCGTAGTCATCCAACAGCAGTCCTTGAATGCATGGGATAAAAGCGCATGCCGCAAGGACTTCGATAGAACAAGTACTAAAGGATGATGCAAACCCGGCAAGATTGGGGTTGAAAAGAACCTGTGCGCTGGTGGGGTCCTACAGCCTGCTGGGAGCAAGGTAGCATGAACGGTCAGCCAGCTGAGGGTTCCTCGCACTGCTTCAAGTAAGGATGGCGTACATTCTGCCTCTTCTTGCGGATGGACTTTGCAAAGCCCATGTCCCAGCATGCAGCTTGAAGTGTGGTACTTTCGATACGCATGGAGGCGTGCAGAGTAGAAGTGCACCGAAAGCAAGTGTACATCTGCTGGCTTTTCAGAAGTGCATGCATTCAGGGCTTGTTCCCTCGAGGGTGATAGCTTATAGCATGCTGGCACGCACAGGAATAATTTTTCGAGCCATCTCAATGGCCCCTGCAGGGTGAGAGTGTCGAGGTCTTTGCACCAATGAGGGCTCTAGTGACTCTAGTGTCAGGCTGAAGATTGATTGCGCTAGGAACCCAGTCCGAACAAAGATCTGAGAAATCCCCTAGAGCCGTGCATGCACATAGCCGAATGCCAGAGTCCATCTGGCAGTGTGCGTCTGTACCTTTGCGGAGTATGGCGCACAATAGAATCGCCAGACAGCGTCGCGCCTATTGGCAAACAGGGTTTTTTGAGGTAGGCAGTATGAGGTAGTGACCAATGACAACGATGAAAAGACGGTCAATCGACTTTTGGCAGTAATCCTGGTCGAAAATTCTGGTGGTTAGAGCCGAAAAGCCTGACAGCACACGTGCCGCTTGCTATACTTGAATAAACTCACAGTGCGAATAGGTTCTAAGAGCGACACATTTCCGCTTTTCGTTCCTGGATATGTCGGAACTCTGGAGTTGCGGTCATGCCAATTGAACATCATAGCATTTGCTGCCCTAAACTATTGAACCTTGGAACCCCGAAAGCAGCCGAAGCAACAAAACTGAGGCACGATGCCCCGCTCCGACCACGATGGAATCGCTCTTCCTGCGCTTTTGCGAAATGTTTCCGAGGTCCTTTTCCATGCTTCTCCAGTGTTCCGTGTGCTTCTGCATTAGGGTTTCGCGCTGAAGTCGCGGTGGTGCCAACGCACATTCCGGGCTGGCAGGCAAAACTCTAATCGAGTGCCTTGGCTGTGGAAGCCACTGAGACCAGCCGTGTTGCAGGTCCTTCGACCCATCTGATAGCAAGCCTGGCTCTTACGTGAGTGTAACCTTACAGCAGCCGTAATGGGTCCGACAAGCACGTTTTGACTGGCGAGTTTGCTTGTTCTCGCTTGATAGATGTTGCGAAATCACGGGTGCTCCGGAAAACTGCGACTCGCAAAGGATCGTTGTGCATGGGTTTCGGCGAGAGAAACAGTGCGGCAGAATTCCGGGGGTTGTGTTCATGACCTTATTTGCTGTTCGCATGTGTGTAGTCAAATCCAAACAGAACGTGTGTATGTCTCAACAGGTTTCACTGAATGCACACGCATGGGCTTCAGGATTGTGGTGTGCTAATCAGTTTAGGCAAGCATGCACGCTGGCGGAGGAACTTTCTGTGTGAACGGGCCTACACTTGAGATGGTCTATTGGTGGTATATTCTGGAAGCAGCTCAAAGATTGAAAAGACAAAGCCCAGGTAAAATAAAGGTCGTCAGGCAAAGGTTCAAACAAAGGTGACGCTGGATATGAAAGGTAAACGAAAGGTGGTCGGGCAAAGGTGAAAAAAGCTGATGCTGCATATGAGAGGTAACAGAAAAGTGAGTGTTTTGGCGGATATGAAAGGTAAAAGAAAGTGGTGGTGCACAGGTGAAATAAGGTTCGAATCAATTCGAATGCACCCAACGGAAATGCAAAACAATGGCAGAAATTTCAGAATGAGTCCATGCGCCCTTGTGAGAGACCCAGACAAGGAGCAAATCACACACCGTGTTCGTGTTGTTGTTGTTGTTGTTGTTGTTGTTGTTGTTGTTGTTGTTGTTGTTGTTGTTGTTGTTGTTGTTGTTGTTGTTGTTGTTGTTGTTGTTGTTGTTGTTGTTGTTGTTGTTGTTGTTGTTGTTGTTGTTGTTGTTGTGTTGTTGTGTTGTTGTTGTGTTGTTGTTGTTGTTGTTGTTGTTGTTGTTGTTGTTGTTGTTGTTGTTGTTGTTGTTGTTGTTGTTGTTGTTGTTGTTGTTGTTGTTGTTGTTGTTGTTGTTGTTGTTGTTGTTGTTGTTGTTGTTGTTGTGTTGTGTGTTGTTGTGTGTTGTTGTTGTTGTTGTTGTTGTTGTTGTTGTTGTTGTTGTTGTTGTTGTTGTTGTTGTTGTTGTTGTTGTTGTTGTTGTTGTTGTTGTTGTTGTTGTTGTTGTTGTTGTTGTTGTTGTTGTTGTTGTTGTGGTGGTGGTTGTCGTTGTCGTTGTCGTTGTCGTTGTCGTTGTCGATGTCGTTGTCGTTGTCGTTGTCGTTGTCGTTGTCGTTGTTGTTGTTGTTGGTGGTGGTGTGGTTGTTGTTGGTGTTGTTGTTGGTGTTGTTGTTGGTGGTGTTGTTGGTGTTGTTGTTGGTGTTGTTGTTGTTGGTGGTGGTGTTGTTGGTGTTGTTGGTGTTGTTGGTGTTGTTGGTGTTGTTGGTGTTGTTGGTGTTGTTGTTGTTGCTGTTGCTGTTGCTGTTACTGTTGCTGTTGTTGTTGGTGTTGGTGTTGGTGTTGGTGTTGGTGTTGGTGTCGGTGTCGGTGTTGGTGTTGGTGTTGTTGTTGTTGGTGGTGGTGGTGGTGTTGTTATTGTTGTTGTTGTTGTGGTTGTTGTTGTTGTTGTTGCTGCTGCTGTTGTTGTTGTCGTTGCTGCTGCTGCTGTGATCTGTGCAAACCTACACCTAGCTCAAGGTTTCTCCTGCGGGGTCAGTTGCACCCTGGAGGAAGCTGAATCCGCAAGCTTTCGTGGATGTTCTCTTAGCCTGACGCTTCTGTGCTAAGTGACAAAGTCCTGGCTCGACTCCGCCGGTTGGACAGCGAGGAGAAGTACGGCGATCTCCAGCAGGCCATAGGCTATAGTTTTGCTTGACCGGTAGTCATTCCGACATAACACGTGCTCGTTTGTTTTGGTCATGAAGGCCGCAGGCCAGTGGAAGCCGCCTAGAAGCTGTCGTGGGTGGTGTCGTGGGCCCAAGTCTAGGTTGGGTGGACGGAAGGATAGGAGCAACTCCTCGCCGCTATGATGTCTGGAAGTGGCCATGATTTGATGCGCGACGTTGACGTAAACAAGATGGCGACCGACCGCGAGGATTCAAAGAGCCCTTACAATGTTCAGAGCAGCTCACCGGGCTCGCCCTACTGCACGGCACAGCGCTCCATGGCGTCGGAGGGCAACTCCGAAAAGAAGAATCGAGCCTCAGTGATCGCAGGAGATTTTATCAAGGTAGATACCGGGGTATCAGAAGTTGATGTGAAGGCTGAAGCGTCGGCTACGTCGAAGATGCAGGGAGCTGCGACATGCGTTCTGACGAACCACTGCATCGGAAACCTTATGGCTTGCGTCGTCGTAGTTGACGCAATGTGCACTTGGATCGACATTGATGCTCGTGCAGCCGGCATATCGACACCGACGTTCGCCGAAGTCTTTGCTGACACTGCTTTGGGCCTCTATAGCCTCGAAATCTTGCTGCGATTCGTAGGCAAAGGTCTGAGGGGCATGGTCTCAGACTGGATTTCAGTTCTCGATATTGTTGTAGTTGTCTGCGGCTATGCAGAGATGATGATGAACGCAATGGCTCCTGCTGAGATAGTGGCAAAGCTGAGCGTCATGCGCGCTCTACGCTTGGCGCGTATCGTCCGCTTGCTGCAGTTTTTCAGGAGGATCCGATCCTTGCGGGAGCTTCAGAAGCTGGTGACGATGATGGCGACATGCCTTCGAACTTTAGCTTGGTCGTTCCTACTCTGCTTCGTTATCATGACGATATGGGCCATGTTGCTGGTCGAGATAGTGTACCCTATCGTACAGGACATGATGACAGAGGGTGATGCAACAATCCTGGATTGTGCATACTGTCAGATCTCGACGAGCTCTGTCATGGAGGCGACCTTGCTGCTCTTCAAGACCGTTATCGCCGGAGACAGCTGGGGAAGGCTGGCCGTCCCGATAATTCAAAGGAGTCCAGGAACGGCCGTGATTTTTGTCGGCTCACTGTTGTCCTTGGTCTTTGGCGTTTTGAACATCATCGTTGCTGTGGTTGTCGACACATTTGCTGAAGCCAGACAGAATGACATCTTGAGCTTGGCAGAGGAAATGGAACAGGACATTGAGAAGGATCGGGAAGCCCTGCAGAGGCTGTTTGCGAGGATTGACGGAGACGGCAGTGGGGAGCTAACACTCCAGGAGTTGATTCAGGGCGCTCGTCGTGACCCAGTCTTCCAAAGCAGGCTGCGAGTGATGGACATCGATGAGAATGACTTGCAACAGCTGTTCCGCATGATTGATGTGGACGGAAGTGGCACCATAGAGGTCGCAGAGTTCATCGGGCCTTTGAGTCGTTGGGTTCATGATTCCAAGACGGCGCCTAGGTTCATTAAGTATAACATGCTGCAGACGATGCAGACGCAAGAAGACCTGTACAGCATGTCCAAAGATATGTACAGCATGTCCAAGACATACTTTAGTCATCTTTCAGAAAGAATCGATACGGTCGTGGCGAAGATGAGCATGCAAAACGCAAGGCCCAGCTTGGTGGTGCAAGGCCACTCTGAAGAACAGCAAATTGAGCAGCCGAATGCCACCAAAAAGCTGGAAACACTCTGCCAGGAACATGTCTCTCCTACCCCGTCCGAAGCGACTACTTCCGAAGTTCCCACCCACGAGAGTCAGCAGAAGGCTGAGATGTGGCAGAAAGCCTTGCATAAGGATGGCGCCGAAGTCGGGGCCTTGCTTGAAGCTCTCATCGTGAAGGTTGAAACGGGGATGATAGAAATGGAGAGCAGGTTGAAGCGCGCCATGGCTAACCTTCCACCTGACGCTTCCACGTTGCATGCAAGTAAAGAAACGACGCCTACAGGTTCGGCGGAAGTAAGGGGCCGTGCCGATCTCTTCCGCTCCGTGTATGGCGATTCCAAGCGTCGGACATCAAGGAGGGCTGTCGCCGCCTCATCCACATTCGGCCAGTTGGCATATGCTGAAGGCACGGCATCACGAACCATCAAAACTTCAGGCGAGTTTGCTTTGCCGGGCTTTCCGCGCTTCCTCACCCGTTAATGCCCGAATGCTGCAACAGCATCGGTGTTTCACAGCCATTCGGCCAACATTTCTTTGTGGCCCATATCCTCTAATCACGAGGTGTAGGGGAGAAGCAGACCACTCCCATCACGGAGCAACGGAATCAGCTCAGTGCAAAACTCCGCATGCCCCAGACCGCAGGCACGAGATCTCTCAAGTCTCCTGGGGCCACCTGGAGCCCATACGGCAATGTGCTGACCGTGACTAGTGGGGCACTGGCAGGCGATGAAGACCGTTGCCCGCAAAGCTGCAGACGGCTCGAAAGACCAGGCACGTGGGCATGTTGAAGCGGGGTTGCAAATGTGTAGCTGTGGTACAAGTACCAGAGGCTCAGAATCTGAGACAACGACGAGAATTTCTGTTAGCAGTCAGGGGGGATGTTGATGGTGAAGAGGGTGAAGCCTCTGCTTGAAATTGCTTGCAGACACAGCAGAATGAACAAAATGAGGAAATCTTACATGTGCGTTGTGCATGTTTGCAAGACACGTCGCGTTGTTTGTATTTGTGCATGTTTGCAAGACCATCCATGTTTCTGCGTTGCCACAAGGCTAGCGGCTAGCGTCTAGGTCAGGGTAGGCTTCCTGGAACAGAGCCAAACCACGTGAAACCATACCCACGTTGCTGGCATCCGCAGCAAATCAAGCAGTTCCACTTATGTTCCAGGGTTGCTCACCTGGCGGGTAGTTCTGCCGCTGATGCATATTTCCGTCGTGAAGTTCCCGCATTGGGGGCTGATGTGCATATCGGTTGTGATGTGTCAGAAATGCATCGCTTTGTATAAGCTGCAACACGATGCCTCGCCACTGCAATACGAGTGAAATGTGATGCCATGAGAAATCTCTAAGCAATGACATTGATGATCAAGGGGATGGCAGGGCGGGAAAGACCAGGGCGTCCGCTCAGAGTGATGCTCGCCTTGCTTGTCCCGCGGATCAGTGCCCGATGCCTCAGGCTCTTGCGAGTCTCATGATGCTACTGCCTCTTTTTCTGGCATATGCCTGCAGACGCCCGATCTCCACTCCTCGCAAAAAAGATAAAGAGAAGATGCTGTTTGTGTGAGCTTGCACATGCGAGTCTGCACCTCCGAGGTAAGCACGAGCCCATGTTTCAAGTCTCTGCGCCGAACCCTTCGTCGTTTGCTGCTAGGCTTGTACGTCTCATGTGACAGACAGAGTTTTGCTGAACAGCGATGTCGATTCCACCAATACCAATACACCACCTGCAGAGGCCATCGCGGAGGGTTGGTCTTCATTTCAAAACGATTTGGAGGCCGCAGGCCGGGCTTCCATAGCGAAACCGGATGCAGATAGGTCGTTGTCAAAATTGCGGTTCCTTTTTCTGGCTACCCTAAATGTTAGGCGCCGTATTCTATGAAGGACCCAAAAACGGACCATGATTTTGACAACCACCCAGATAGTCTGCCTGGTGTTGTAGCTACACACAGTCAGCTGCTTTTCCGAAGCCGCATAGCGCGAGCATCATTTTCATAAGTGACCGTTGGCGCTTTGGGTCCACCGATAGGTGATACTCGCAGTAGGTGCAGAGAGTTGTTGACACGGACCCATTCACTGGGGTGGCTGCGGCATACTCCAGAATCATCTGCGAACTGTCTCGGATCTTCGACTACACCCCCGGGGCATTGCATTAAGAAACTCCAAGCCCGGAGCCCGGATCCGATCCTAAGCCCCGCACGCAACTTTTATGATAAGCAAGGTACTTGCGGACAAGACAGGGCTTGTTGACCGATTCTTGGGCAGACTGCGGGGGTTTTGCGTAAGTTAGCTGTTCACATCCATTTCGTATCCAGGACGGTATCTTGTAGGTTTCTTGGGTAGTGCTACGGTGGATGGACGAAATCTTGCACCACCTGGACATGCGTACTTCAAACGATTGAGGCATGAAGCCCCGCACCCCCCATTTAAAATTGGAAGCGAAGACTGTTTGAGCCGTGCAAGATTTCGGCCATTGGAACAAATGCGGCCCGTAGCTTTTCACAGCCACTGTCAAAAAGGGGGCACGGGGAAAACAACAACAAAACATGTTTGTGAAAAGTGGTGCAAGATTCTGTCCATCCACAGTAGGTACAGCTAAAAGCCTCGGGAAGCGGACAGGTCGTTTGAGACCAGCGGGGTGGCATCCTCAGCGCATTTGGTTCATCCTCTGATGTCAAGACTGGGTGTGAAGGGCAGGGCAGCGGCTCCTTCAAAAAATGTTAACTCAAGATGTATGTATGTATACACACATGTATGTATAATATATATATATATATATATATATATACATATACATATATATATATATATATATATGCATGTGCATATATATATATGTGTGTGTGTAACTATATATATATATATATATATATATATATACACAAACCGTACTTCGGCCTGGTAGAAGACATCTCAACATCCTGTTCTATCGTAATCATGTACTATTGCACCCCTCCCAATCTTCGCGGATGCTGTCCTTGAAAGTCCAAGCCTTCCATTGCTGATCTTGTTTGGGATACCGTTTAGAATCCTTAATATATAATTGGTTAAACCAAAGAAAGGAACTACAATGGAGACTCTAGGGAACGCAGAAGGTGCTTCGGTGTACGACTTAGGGGAAAACTGACATTGCGCAGTGTTGCAGAGATCGCCAGCTCTTTGTGGCTCGTTTCACTGCTCGGAGTAGTGATAGTCTGGTTTTAAAGATGAAGGCGCTGAAGATGTAGCATTGACGGCCAATGCTTGGCTTCGATTCATGGTGCCAGACTTCAGTTGGATGTGGGATGTCGGAGCAGGCTTGTGCTGACCCCGACGCGTGAGCTTGCCTTGCAAGTCAGCCAGGTGGGCTTCTCAGCTGTCACTTTCCATCATGTTGTTCCTGTGTTCCTTTTTGTCGAACCTAGAAGGCTTTGCTTCTTGTTTCGTTTTCCTGACGTCAGTGCCATGCAGTAACGTGTCAAGGCTTTGCCGACGTCACTTCTGCAAACAGCAGCAATTGCATGGAGGTTGCGGTCGCGTGGGTTAAAACGCCGTGAACTCGTCAGCGAGAGGCCGAAGCGGGGGAGAGAGATTGAGTGAGACCGAACACATATGTCCTTCATATACACTTCTGCCGTTTCGGCCGGTCACCCTGTCAGTGCGATCTCTCACTTCTCACTCCCTCCCAAGAGGTCCGGTAACAAAGCGGGCGGGCTTCATGCTTGAGGAGCTTACCTCGCCCCTCAAGCCTGGGAGAAGAAGAAGAGATTGAGGTCAGGCCAGGCCTGCGGTGGAACAAAAGAAAGAGCGAGGAAGCAATGCAGGGAGTCGGGTAGGTGAGCATGTAAGTGCATGTGCAGGCACATGGGCAGCTGCGAGACATGTTTGTTAGTGCGTTTGTGACAACGCCCGCGAGACCCCTGTATCGTCGATGCCAGTGTAGGCCAGCGCGGATGTTGAGTCCACGTGTCAAGTTGGGGCGCACGAAAGTAAGCTGGGCAGTCCAGGCAGCGGTCGAGCCCCTGTTCAAACACAGACATCAATGAAGTCAAATTGCGATGCAACGCGGCTGGAGACATGAAATCCGTCGGCCAGGCCTGCGAGCCCTCTTCCCTCTCCGATAAAGGCTTCAACACTGCAGCACACCGGGCAGCAGCATGCCCAGCGGACGAAACGAGTAATGTGCAAGCTTGCCTTTCGCGCACGTCCTTTGATTGTACATGCGGGGACAAGTTTCAGCCAAAACCGAAAACACTGACAAACATGCAGACACACGCAGACACAGAGACTACAATACACTCACTGGAATCGGTTCCAGTCTCGGACTTCAAGACAGGCTTGAGTCGAGGAAAGTGGGGCAAGTTCCTACAAGTATGCTTGTTGTATTATCGATAGCTTCAAGCTCCGCATGGAAAAGCTGGCATCCTGATGCCTGACGACGGTCTGGCATGTCTTTACTGGAGTGACAGTGGTTATGATGTAGAGGCTGTTGTAGCAGACATTCACAGGCCGCGGAAGGAGGCAGTAGAACTCGAGGGATTACCATGCACCAAGCCTCCCCCAAGCAGCCCAGAAGCACCCTTCGTCGTTGTTTCTTTCGCTGCTGAGGTGGCGAAGGAGCTTGGGGCTTCCGTGAGAGTGGTGCTTGGCGGCGTAGACCACGAGAGGCACAGCTTGAGAATGCCATCTTAGATTGAAGCCATCGCTCCCACAGCCGTGTGAACGAAGCTGAAGCCTGCATGGTGTGGTTACTTTTGCTGACTGTTTCCCGTTGGTCCGATGGGTCAGGAAACGTATCTTCATGTACGAGGTTTTCTGTCCCATAAGCATGAACACCCCGTTCGGCCAGTCGTGTCCACATTTTCTATTCGACTACACTCGGTAAAAATCGGGAAGTACGTTCTCTCCCAGTGAGCTCCCCTTGGGCTCCAAAGAACATGCTCCCGGAGAAGCGTGCCCCACTTCGGTTCAGAAACCCAAGGCCGGAAAACAGCTAGTAGGCAATGAGGTCACTGTCCAGGCTGTGTCTTGCGGGAGACTTTGGGAATATTGTAGCTGTGCGCTTTGGAACATTAGAGCTTAGAGTGCTAAACCCTAAACGCTAAACCTAGAGAGTAGAGTTTACACAAACTTTTAGAAGATGTTGCAGTGTTTCGATTCTCGAACCAGCCAAGAGCGAGGCAGCGGGAGCAGCTGAGAGTCGACCGTCCTTCTCTTATTGCCTTGACCTCGGGGATAGGTTTAGGGTTTATAGGATTTAGGGTCAAGGGTGGCATAGCATGTCTCACATGTCTCAAGAGATGGTGTCGAGCGACCTACTGTACGAGGGCGTGCGGTCTTTGCCCCCACGTTGTTATTGTGAATGCCTGCGACCTTCACGTTTAACGTGTTATCGAGAGGCAGGCTGCATCTACAATTCTGCCCGTTCTGAATTGTCCAAGCCGCAGTCGCAAACTCTAGCGACATACACACTTTCGTTGAGACGCAGTTATTCCCAGCTGCCTTTCC